CCTCGTCATTGTTCATGTCTCCTCTACGATCAGCTTAGTTATGAGAAAAGAAGAAGATATTGTACTATCAAAAGTTGTGCTACAATACAAACATTTGCTGTGGTGTGTATGTTTAAAAATACCAGATAGAGTATATCTGTAAAAGGATAATATGAATAAAGACGAAAGAAAAACTTATCTTAGACAATGCATTTCGTCCTCTGTGGGACTTTTTCAAGGTAAGCGCATTTACCTTGGTAAATTCCCACAGAAGATAGAACTTCTTTTGTTACCTGAAAAACTTTAAACTTGTAAATCTACCTTCAGAAGAAATTTTAGAATGTTTAAATAAGGAAAAGCATAACAAAATTAGATGTTCATTCACAAATCCATTACCAAATTATTCTGCTAGGATCATAAGACAAATAACAATAAAATGAAAAAAAAATGTTAGATTTCCTTATTTTGAAACAACTGAGTATTCTTGATGCATAAAGGTCAATTTTTTTATTATAATTTATAAAGTATTGTTTCAATTACATTTGAGATATTTTATTTCAGTTTACATTTAATGTTAGTTTTTCCTTATTAATTTTACAGTCGATTGAACAAGTAGCATTTTCAGGCTTATGGCCACATATTAATTGAAAAACATAATACAAATAACAATTGGAAAAATAAAATTATAAAAAATAGTATTCACATTTATTATGAATGAAATGCTTTAAATTATAATATTAATATTTGTTAGACTTTTCTGATTCTCACTATGTACAATATTTAGAATAGTAATGGCTGGCCACTCATTTCCAAATAAGCCTGTCTACTGGAGCAGCTAGGCAGTACCTGTTGTAGACACCTGCTACATTTGTATTTGTTCAACACCCACATAGCCAACCTGTGATTTATACTGCAACTATGCTGAGCAGGCCTTAGATGCATTTTCTGGGAAAGAGTGTATAATCTAGTGTGATCAACAGTTTTTGAACAAATCCTCAGTCATGATGACTTGTGACTTTGTTCTAGAACAACCATCAATGGAATTATTCCATCTACCCAATTTAATTCATAAAGCATGAGTCAACCTGTGGCACGGTTTCCAAGCATTTTCAAAAAGTGCCAGACACTGACATCACCTCCCCAGGCCAATATTATCATGAAGTCACCTTTATGACAAATCAACCATGGTAAGATTCAAACCCAGGTTCATGATCAGAAAACAAATGTTATAGACTTTTAGCTATGCACCCATAATATTTAATAATTAACTGATAAAATACCTTGAAAATATTTAAATTATTTCAGTCAATTAAGAAAGAATTTCTAAGTAATGTTGTTATATACACTATCTCTGTTATTTCAATGTCAATTAGAAGAGAGAAGAGAGTTATCTATCTTTTGGTGGTAGCTCTTTTAGTGTTAAAAAGAGAATTCTTTTTCTTCTCATGAAAATATCACTGTCATTTCTCCCGATTTGTCATTCAGAAACCAACACTTAATCTAAATGTAAGAACTTTGCTATCAATCTTTCAAGGATTTTTTTTATTTTATTTCCAGTCATTTATATGTACAATTACATTACATGGACAATTATCCTAATGACCTTTGGTAGTAAACTACACTATCCTACACTTTTCTTTTAAGTGTGACCAAATTGTCTTTACTCTATTCAGGTGTACAGACCAAGAATTTGTTTTAATGTGGATGTCATTTGCCAGGTGAACAATCTTCACATACCTATGTAAATGTTAGATTTCTATGTAAATATTTACCTGAATTCTAATAAGTCATTTAAAATAAAAAATGAGGTTCATTTTAAGAATGAACTTTTTTCTTTCAAAATTAACAAACAACAAAATCAGAAAGAAAAGTTCAACATGCAAATCACAGATTGGAGATATTAAAATCAAACAGCTGCAACAATTTAGATATCTGAGAAATATATTAATGGAAACTGTGACACAGAAATCCAAAGATGTATAGGGATAGTGAAAGATGCCTTCTAAAAGCTAAGCAAAGTATTTCTTTCATGGTAGTCTCAGCATCCTTCTATAGAACCAAATTCTTTTTTTTTTTGCCTCAAGTCTTTTCTTCATCTGTGAATAGATTGTACAACATTCTCTGCCATATAGGAGGATTAATATTACATCACACTCTTTTCATTGTTTCTGACAAAATTTGGCAGTTTTACACTTCAGCATTTTTTGGGTGATTGGAATTTTGAACTGAACCCTTTAAACCATACACCAGGGTAGATTGTTTTAGTTCCAATCACCTGAAGAAGGCCGAAGCATACAATGGCCGAAATGTCATGAATATAGCAACGAAGATGAGGACAACAGTCCGAACAATGTAAATAATTACAATACCTCATCCCAGAAATATAGACATATTTCTTTCATCTTAATTTCAGTTGCTTTTCATTATAACTGCTCAGGCCATCATTCCAATAATTCATCTAATAAAGCTCCCAAGATAATTTTAACACTCTGTTACACTTGTCAAAGTCAACAATTTACATGATGATATAAAACAATAGTTACTGCACTTCAACAGTTGAAAAACAATTTTTAAATTCTCAGTTCTTACCTTCTTTAAATTATTTTTAAACATAATATTTTCTAATTATTTAATATGTTTGAGAATTGCATATAATGAACACTATTTTACTTCTACTTAAATAGCAATGAACTTAACCCTAATGGCTCAACTATTCATCATTACAACTACCATGTTAAATTATCTCCAACATCAAAGACGGTCAGTAAATTTTTGGAAACAATAAAAAGTCTTTTCTCAACCATAGCTTTTCTCTCTGAACCAACTATTTAAATGTATTTTTAAACTACCCAAAGACTTTAACTCAACAAAAGACTATTTTGAATGCTTGTATATATGATTTATTTAACTGACATACCCATGTTTTCTTTCATTTTATTTTTTATTATTGCTTGGGATTCAGCCATTCAGATGTTTAATATAAAAAACCAGGATGGCAGAATTTCCTAGATCTACAGACAAAGGCCTAAAAATGACCTTGCCAAAATAGTGTTCAGATAGATAGATACATAAATACATATATACATACGGGTAGGCCTGGGTACCCTACTTCTGTAATTTATCCCAAGAAACTTCTTCTCAAAACAGGAAGAAGCCGGCTCAATCCGCCCAGGGTGAATGCCGCATCAGTACAGTACAGTAGTACATATATACATACACACACAACAAAAACAACAATAGTCCCCAAATAAAAAAATTGTTCTGACAGCAATGATAGCTTGTATTGTGGAAAACTTCTGAAGAGGAACAGAAAATTAATCACTGCTTTCTATCATTTTATAAGAAATCCAAAGTCTTGTAATACAGAATTTGGCAGAAAATAACAGATTTATCACTTCCCAATGCACATTTGTAAAATAAAATCCATTCCATCTACATTTTGAAATTATGTTTTAAAATAATTTTTGTCATGTACTTGTAGTTAAACAGGAAGGTTTATCACCAACCAAAGATGATTATATTTTCAGCTCAAATTTCATCAAATTTTCAATGCAGTACAAATGAACTTCTCTTATCTTTGCAATACCCAAAAGTTTAAAACAACTTTTACACTGTGCTGAACAATTTCATCATTTTTAAAACTGAATGCATCAAGTTCAATCATGAACATAGAAATAATTTCAAGAAATGATTATTCTTTCCTTCTCTTTAAAAAGTAAAGCAATGAAATATCTTAGGATTTTTACAAGGAAAAAAACATTCCAACTTGCAATCATTTACTTTTGTTTTTTCAATCACTGGCTAGTATTAACTTAATGAATACAAGTTTGTAAAGATAAAATAACTATCACAAATCTAAATTGTACTAAAATTAAAAGTTATTTGATAAAGAGTTGGTTGAGGAAAAAATATTTCCTTTGTATTGATCAACTTGTTCAAAAATAAATAACTAAATTGTTTTTTCATACCTTATATTTTCAAGGGAACATTAAAAAATTAAATTATGCAGACATGAAAGTTTTATTCTTAGAATTTAAATAGAAAAATAGGAACTATATTAAGCTTTATTACCAGTTTCATTAAGTTGTAAGTAATAAACTGCTTAGCAGTTTATTATTTACAAGTAAATGTAATCCAATAATTTTTGAGAAAAATTATTAAAATTATGAATTAAGTAATCTTCTAAACATTCTGTATCAACCAAGGAAGAATTGCAAGTATTATAGATAAAGAAAGTATTATAGATAAAGAAAGAGAAGTCAATATTCAAAATTAGTGGATTTGAATTGCAAAGATAATATACAGTTTTAGTTGAATGTAAAAATAAAATCTATAGAATTCTTTAAACAGAAATGAAACAGACAATACTTTTTATATGTGGAAAGATAGCTATATTCATAATATATTTGCCTAGACAGGCTAACACTTAAAAATTCTCATTAAAAATTAAATGGATAAAAACCATAAAACAGCACAACATGTCTGTAAACAACTACAACAACAGCATGATATCTCAGCAGCCACTTGAGTTGGGATTGCCTATTGTAATGGTTCCAGTAGAACCCCAAAATATATAAAAAAAAAACACCTCTTATAAATGTTACTTATCATTTCACAAGTAGATAAACGAATACACATTGATATACACACTAAAAGCAAGGATTGAAAATAATCCTAAGTTAGGCTAAGTTTATTAACACTACAGAACTTTCTCTTGAACTTTTTTCCCTTTTATAGATGTTAATCACTTAGATGCAAATGTTTTTTTTTATTGTTTATGACTAGAATTTCTGATATCGAGATTTTTCCACCACAATACAACAGTGTATTTCTAAAATGGCTTATACAGCAAATATGGACTGTGTATAGTTTATATAAAATTGCCATCAACCCAAATTTTTCTTCAAGGGAGACAATGAATAAAGAGTGTAAGTATTCACTATGTAATAATACGCTTTAATAAACATTAAAACAAAATATTTTGACATGAGAAAATCAAATAATTAAATCCAAAAACTTACAGTTTGGTAGCTTCCAGTTTGCATTGACGTGAAAGTTAGAACTGATTTCTCCTTTTCTAAATCCAAAGAATGTTAAAAAAACACACTAAAAAAGAAAGCAAAAGAAAAATGAGTTTTTCTTTTTTTTTTTTTAAATTGTTAAATCTTGATTTAAATTTTAGAAAATGGACAAAATTCTGTTAACACTGTAGCTCTAACAAAAAAAAAGTCTGAGAAACATTGACTTTGTTTCTACAGACAAACTGGAATCTTTCAGTGTTGATAGGGAAAGAGTCACTTAAATTCCACTTGCTGATAAACTTTTTTCTAAAACTGGCAAATAGTATGTCTCCTAATGGTAACTCCAATTACAGTGAACAATGAATAAATTAGTTATGTCAAGTTTTATTTTAAACTCTTACATTTATTGCTGCTGCTTGCATTTTTTCATTCTACAGTTAGTATTAAAAATATATAATTAGTTAAATTTATAGTCCTGATTAAAATCATAAAAAATACAAAAGGTGTTATAAAAATCTATTAAATCAAGTGGAAATACTTTATGATATTTTAAAAGTAGAAAACATTTTGTTTTTTGTCAAAATTGGAAATTTTAAAAAGGTTTCTTTTCATTAACTGAATTTTTTGTATAAAACTGTCTTTATGTACCATGTCCTCTGAGGATGTAGCCGATCAAAGTCTTTTGCAGCTCTTAATAAATTTTGTTTTTTGTCATTTCTCCTAAACCCTGTTCTGACATCCATTTACTCAAGCTCACTAATGCATTGTTTTTTTTTTGCCCTCTTGCCTTCAATCTATTCTGCGAGTATCAGAATTTCCAAGCCCTCTTTCCTCATTATGTATCCTAGAAATTTCAATTGCTTCTTCCTGTGTTTTCATTTTCTCTAAAACTTTGTTGTTCACATAATCAGTCCATGGTATCCTCAGCATCCTTCAGTAAAACCACATTTCTGTTGCTTCAAGTCTCTTCTTCATTTCTGAGGAAGTTGTCAAGCACTCACTGCCATACAGGAGGACAGATATCATATAACAGTTTAGTACTCTTTTCCTTGTTCTTACAGAAGCTTATAAAACAAATAGGGCACATTGGTCAAAGGTAAACAACCACAATCCTGTTTAATTTAAGAGACTGGTTAATATACTTTACCATAATTAAAGGAAAAAACAGATTTTATAAAATGAAATATTTTAATCTGCTTCAGGAATAATTATAATATTCTCTTCTTTTTCTTCCATTAAGAAAAGATAAACATTTAATGCATACAAAAATGTTTTCAAAATTAACACTAAAAAGCAACATATAAAATACAGATTTTATAAATGTTTAAATATATTAAACTAAAACAAATTTATAACTATAGATTTTATAAGCATTTTCAGTTTTCAAAAGTTTCAAAATTTATTAAAAGAATTTTTTTTAAAATGCATAATGGATATAAATAAGAAGTAGAGAATTTTAGATGATGTAATTGAAATCTGACTAAAATTGTTATCTTATTTTCCGATTTTCATAAGTTAGGAAACAGTTTGTGATCTTATCATGAAATAACATTCAGAAAATCACATGATTGAATGTGATGTGAGGCAAACTTCTTTAAAGAGAATTCCTTATATACAATGGACATTAATCTAATTTTCCTGCTCTACCCAATACACCTTGAATGAAAACAATTCATAGAGGTAAACCACAATGATTCACCTTGAACTTTGTTATTAATCAAAGAATTGTTCTAAAAGGAGTGAAGGTTAAAGTTGGCTTGGAAGAACAATAACGAAGATAAGAAATTCTGTAAGTCAATATGATATACCTGATAAAAGTAACTTTATTGTTCTGGAAAGGAAGTTGTCTATGTGGTAATCTAAAGAGATAGTCACAAAAGTCACTGTATCAAGTACAAAACATTTTATTAGAAAAAGTGTATATTGATTGTAGAAAGAGTAAATATCTGGTGCAGAGCTGGGTCATGAAAATAGAAAAAAATAATTGATTAGCATTTGCTAAATGATTATTTTGACATCATTTATTCAGTTATCATTACTTATTAAGCCAAACAAAATTAAAGTTTTATAAAAAAAAAAAAAACATGCAAAAAACACACAGAAATGAACTTTGTATTTTAATGTTTGGAGATTTGGCAAATGAATTTCACTATTGTTTTATATTTGATCTTTGTTAAATACAAAAAAACATTTATTTTGAAAGTTTTATAATACAATACTGTTGTGATGTCTTCCCTCTAATGAGGCTATTGTGAACTATTTACTATAAAGTTAGTGGTGAAAGTAAGCCTCGCAGGAATGGTGATATAGTCTGAACATTGGTCAACCAGCACACACTCCCAAATTGTGTAACACACTTCTGTTGTATTTACTGTTCAATACACTATTTATCTGCAACTTCTTGTTTTCTTATTTCTTAACCATTACTTGGTCACAACAAATAGCAAAGTAGCAGATTTTAACAAATGTAATTTTGTATTTGATCTATTTGGATGGTTTTCTTTGTCTTGTTTCTTTTTTCCTAGCATGTCAGACATGAACACTCTGGCTTTCCTTAGGTGTAGTGTGTTCGAGGATGTTGCTTGTCTCTTTCTGACTAGCACTTTCTACAAGCTGTTTATTCTTGGCTTATTGATGGAGTCAGCTAAAGAGTGTATGTGAAAAAATTCTTTCAAGTTTCTTATTCTATAATGCAGCTGTCTATTATGGAATATGAACCATATACAAAGATTAAAACACATTGCCTAAGAAAATTCTGGCAAGAAATTTACTTTTATTAATCATATCTTATTTACTTTAAAATAAAATAATGGACATAAATCTTAACTTGAATGATCCCCATTGTGAGAAGCACATTGTTACTTATAAAAACTTGGCATCAGATTTTATAAAAAAATATTTCATGGAAAAAAAATTTAAACTAATAAAAAAAAAAAAAAAAAAAACTTTAGAAAAGTTGCATAAATATTGATTTATAATTTAAGTGTAATACAATGTTTACAATTAATCAGGAGAAAAAACATTCTGTCCATTTTTTCCTCCTACACATCAAATGCATAGAAAAGTTTGTTTTGGTATTTTGTGATGCTTTTTCGAAATTCAATACTTATGTTTTCTTTCCCATAAAATGTCATCAGTATCTGATGACAGTACCAAAAACATATGTGCAAAAAAATCCATCATCTCATGTATTCAACCTATCCTTGCTGTTAAGTGGACAAACTTGATTCATGTTGCACATCAATATATAAAAACATACAAGTACTATCAGTAAACACTTTTTCAAGACCTTGATATAAAAACTACATAGTCAAATAACAACCCTAAACCCAAGTTTTATACATTAACTCTTCAATTACAGTGGCTTATGAGAAATAAATCTAAGAAGCTAAGTCTTAAAATACTGTTTTCCCGAATTAAAACTAGAAGCAACATCAATCATATACAAATCTTAAACACTTATGACTTTAGAAATATATGCAGTGTTCTGTAGAAATGGCATTGTTCAAGCAAGAAACTAAGACAAATAACAATGAACAGCATTATTCTACATACAGTGTAACCCGGATATAAGAGACCCGGATATAAGAGAGATTTTCTCTGGTCCCAAATTAGAGCCTGTGTTAATGTATATAAAATAGACCAAACCCGGATATAAGATAAACCCGTTAATGATATAAAATAGACTTCTTCTAAGATAAGTCCCGACAACTTCTCTTATATCTTTATATTGACACTGTACATATCAAGCTGTTTAATTCTATTTGATATACCAGCCTGTCAGCAAGTAGGACTTCATTTTACACAAGTATAACAGTAGCAAAAGGATAAGCATTTAAATTTATCTTTTTATGGATACAAAAACATTTTAAATTATTTTCAGAAAAATGCAAACAAAATGTGATATCATATATATGAAAGGAGTGGTGTAAGACATGTTTCATTAAGTTAAAGAGTTTTGAAGAGAGTAGACTGAAGCTCCATGATCAGCCTCAGCAAGCTCTGAAGCAGAGATGCCATCAAAATCCTGCTAAAGCAAATTTCATCTGTCAGTGTGGCTTTGTCACCCGCATCAAGGCTGGGCTAGTATAACACTTAAGAAAGCACAAATGAAATATTTTTTTTCGTGATTTTTACCACAATAGACCCTGCTAGCATGCATAAGTGTAAAACAAAAAGCACCATCTAATCGCGGACCCTCATTTATTGTTCATGATAGGAGAGTCCACCATATATATATATATATATATATATATATATATATATATATATATATATATATATATAGGTAGGGTTGGGGAATAAGTTGTGAGCATTTTGTTTTTTGTTTTTTTAAGTAAAAAATCTTTGGGAAGCCAAATGATTGTTGTTCCAATATTTACATATATGTATGATTTTTGTTAATTTCATTTTTGTTTTGTATTTCTCTAACTTTCTTACACCTACCTCTTTTTCTTCCTCCACCTTAATATTATTATATAGTTTTCTCTATTTGAAATACAGTATCCATTACCCTTGTAATGGATACACTATATTTAGGACTAATTGTATAAGGACAGAATTAAGTATATGCTATATTTTGTTCTTTTTATGCAAGTATTTAAAAGCAATGACCACATATATAAATCAAAATTTGTGGTCCTGATGTGTTCTGTTTAAGCAGATGTCACTATCTACATCATATTTGTTTTATATGGATATTTTTATGCAGACTAAATATGAATGTCATGAATCTCAAATGATTTTTCTTCACTCTCCACCACTTGACTTAACAGAAAAAATAATTTCAGTAAACTTAATATTTCTGTTAGTGTTAGAAAATAGATATTGTCTGTTAATAGGAGGCATGATGGAGTAATAGATAGTGGCTTGGATTGAGGAATCGGAGAGCCGAGTTCAAATTCCAGTCGAATCCATTACATTCATTTACGTGCTAACACCCTTGGGAAAGGTGTGAATCCTCTTTCTTCTCCCTCCAGCTATGAGTAAATAGCAGGACAGATTGGGTTCTATAGCCTTGGATG